CTACTACTACTACTTACTACTACTTAGACGACTACTACTACTAGTACTAGTACTACTACTACCCCTCCCACTCCAGATGCTGCTCCTGCGGCTGCTGCTGTCGCCGCCCTATCATATCACCACTACAGCTGTGCTCCGCCACGAGGGCACTTACAACTATCACAACGACGGTCACGGCCTACCATTCTGACGATGGCGAAGACTATAAGTAAACGTAATAGACCCTGTATTCTGTTGCTACTAACCTGGTAACTCTGACATGGCTTCAGCTCCGGCATGTGCAGCCGAGTCATGGGACAGAAGTCGTTAGTAGATGTAGCCACCTTGTTTTTTTGAGGGCTGACCAGCCGGTGCGTCTTGGCTCCAACTGACCCCTTCCATGACAGCTTCCCATCGTTCTTCAGCCGAACATCGCCGAATATAGTCACCAACAATTACATGCCTATGACGGCTTCTGACGGCTTCCACTGCCGCCATCTTCGCTAAGGTAGGCCACTCGTTGCATGTGTTGATGCTTGTTTCAAATTTAAACCGTGTCTATGCATTTTCCTTCGCCTAGTTTTCTCCCTCAGGTGCTGGGCTGGCCGGCCCGGCCTCAGTGATATGCTCCTCTTCCACCTCCGCGTGGATGGCCCTTGCTATAGCTTTGGCCTCGAATCGCCAACCATTTGAATCTGTTCGGTAACAAACAGTGAAAGGATCTGTTAAACCCTAAAACTTCTTGCGCGGCTCGCAATGCAGCTTCGAAAATGCCTCTGCGCTCCAGCGTTCCACGGCTTTTCTTATAAGAGAAGAGCTAGGAAGAGCTTGGGTCAGCGCCAGCTCTGCCAGTGTGATCTCGGAAGGGTCGTCAGCCGCACTGCCTGAAAAGGAGCTTTCGATGCGCTAGGCTGCAAGGTCTCTGGAGGATGACACGTCGAGCTTGCGACCTCGACCTCGAGGCTTTAGGGTCTGCGACAGGCTTTTGAGTGGGACTGGGCTAATAATAGTTGAAGGTTGAGGATGTGCTGTGAAGGCTCCATACGAGTCGCAGGCCGTCTACACTCTGCCCACCAAAGTGGGTGTTGCACCCACCATGTCCGAGATGTCGGTGAGCGTAGTGCTACATGTTTGCTGTCTAAAACAGACAATGTGCTGCCTGCTTCCCCGACATTGGTGAACAGAGTAGTGTACGAAGGCAGAATCTCCATTGTAGTCTTCTGGGGTAAGGGCATCTGGAACAACTTGTGGCCAGTCTGCAAATTTCAACCACGTGGGAACTCGCAAGACATAACCTCCTCTCGAGGTGTTCCAACAGAAAGACAGCGTCTGGCGAAGCAGAACGATGACGAAGATGATAGCAGCGATCATTATCCTGGAAAGCATGCTACAGATCAACGAAACCTACTGTATAAGCACTATGACCCTCTCCATCTGCCGCCAATGTCAAACCCCACGCAAGACCCAAAAACCGAGCTGTCAAGCTGCGAAAGATTTCAGGGACATCAAAGACCTCCCACTTCACTGTAGCATAAGACTTGACATGACGGTCGGAAATGCGAACAACCTCGATCAAACAAAGCCGCGGAAACAGCAGTGGGGAGAAGGTGTATAAGATTGTTGACAAGGTGTTGACAGCAGCACAGTGTGAAAGCACAAAGTCTCTCCGACAGACGTAGCCTCTCGGAAACCAGGCTCAGGCCGAAGCTTCAGCCGCGGAAGAAACCCCCTTAATCCCCAATTTTTACACACCAGTCACCTCTGCACTCCAAGAAGCCCCTGAATCTCTGTGCCCCTTACCGAAGCCCGTGAGCATCGTAAGTTGCACACTTGCAGCGGTACGGAGCTCGTCGAGAACTTGGGTCTGCCTCCAGGCATCATCTTCACAACGGGTTTATGGACATGGAGGTCCTGGAATGCGTTTTCCCCTTGCCAACCTGACTGAGGAATGAGTTCTAGAGCATAGGAACCTTCGTCTGGTAGATAGTGCCATGCAGACCCCTGGTTGATAAAACATCCCTAGTAAAGTGGTCATAATAGTTAATAGCACGCATCCCTACCAAGGTCCGGAGCCTACCGTTTTTTGTGCTGGGGTCCCGAAGCCCTCAACCTTGACCAGAAACTCCCACATCCAGCAACCCTAGGTCGATTCATTGGCTCAGGGCGGCACATTGCGTTTGTTTGCGACTTTTCATGACCTCAAAGAAGCAGCAAGAGGAGGATCGGGTGTTTTCTTCCGGCGAGGTAAAGGCTCAGACACCGACTCGAAGGTCTGGGGGCCTGGCTTGGAACCTCCTAGGGCCTGATGGACGATGTGAGTCGTCTGAATGCATTACCGACTGATGGACCACAGGTCCTGACACGAAGCTTCGGCTGAGAACCTAGATATGACCCCCCCGCCCCCGCCCCGAGGAATAGGATCCCAAATGCCAGGAACTCCAGGACCGCTAAGTCCACGACCCCTATGTCTCAGAAGCTCCCACAATTCGGCAACCGCGAACTTTAGCCTGTTAATGCGACACAGCATCACCCGCTTCGAGTCAATACGTGGGTAGTTCTCCAGATTCGGGTCCCCTGCCTTTCGGATCACCAAAATAGTACGGCACCCTTATAAGCAGGACCCTGACAGGGACCCCAATTTAGAGAACTGCCCATGCGTCCGGGGACGCGACTGACGTAGCGTTCCTGGAGCAGCCTCCAAGGAACTCTCACACTTCGCTATTTGGAGGTTGAAGATACTTCGGTCCCTGATGTAGTATGTCTGGGTTTCGCCTGTGCCAGATTGTAAAAGCCCTCTTGCTGGCGTGGGTTTATACCCACTATCATGCAATGCAGCGGGCTTCAATGCCTCGAAATACACGCAGTACTGTGTCTCCCATGAAGCAGCATAGACGGCCGTGCTATGGCTGTCCGGAATTGCTTCCCACCTCGCCAGCTCATCATCAAAGCACCCTAGTTAGGCCCGAGTAACTCTGAGTAGACCCTGTAAACTCATGCTTCCTGCCTCGCCAGCTCATCAGCAAACGGCATCGAGATCTGAACCGTTTTCGCGACAGCCTTTGCTTTCCTTGGCTTCGGCGGAATTTGGAAAGCTTCTCCATCAAGCCTCCGCTAAACTCACTAAGCCCTAGAACTGCCTCACAACATAGAGGCACTTAATGTGTTTATCTTTTCCTTTCGTCCATCCATGATCTGAGCCTGGGAACCAAGTCTGCTCATGTCGGAGAATACTACAGATGACAGGTCCGGGCGGTTTGTGCAAGGCTTTCCCGGGCTCGGGCTGCAAAGCGATCCGTGATGATTCCTCCAAGCTTCGTGAAGAGCACTTCTCCCAGATCTTCGTCGTCGGAATCGTCGTGCTCTTCTGCCATGACTGACCTGGCGAAACCGGAACTTGTACACCACCTCCGTGAAAACTGGTGCAAAGGCGGACATGCAAGGACATCACGAAAGGAATAAGTTCACATGTCTTTTGACCATGGCTAAGATATTCCCACAATCAACCACTACCTGAGCCTTTGTCTTCAACACCCTTGGACTTCTCTAAACAGCAACATCTGAAGCAGCCCCATGGGGTATGTATGACTATAAGAAGAGCTAAGCCCAGCGATGCCCAGGGATTGGGGAACACGCCCCTCTCGGATGGCCTCTGGAGCGCGTCGATGGAGAAGCCGTGCGCGTGAATCCTCCCAGCAACTCGCGTGGGCGTCGCCTACCTTCACCTTCTTGCTTCGGTTTCCAGGTGTTGCATCTATGTTGGAAAATGACCATACTTGGAGGCCCAGGGGACTTAGTAAGTAGGTTATAAGTAGAGTTATAATAACCCTACTTATCTCCAAGTAGTAGCGGGTTCACTTCCGAGGGTGGTTCAAAGTGTAGGATGTACTGGTTTTTACAGCATATTCGAGTTTCGGGCTTTCAAGGACAGTAAGATTTAGGATGGTTTCGGGTCCCGTTACAGTGGGGCCGGTGCATCGACTTCCCTGTGATGTCTTGGGAACCGAGCGAAACATGTTGCGTGACTCCTTCTGCAGACTCACAGAAGCGCATAAAGCCCATGAAGCCGAAACCTTCATGCTTACAGCTTCATATCGACAATTTTCATATCGCCCAGTGAAGCCGGAACCTTCAGGCCAACAGCTTCATTTCCTTTTTCTTCATACACATGTACATACATATGTATAGCCACACTCTTACATACAACCCTAGCTAAGCCCTAAACACATATATATATATATATACAAACACGCATGCACATCATGTCGCCCCTGGAAGCCGAAACCTTCATGCCAACAGCTTCATCTCCTGTTTGATCACACACATGCACAAACCTATGCACATATGTATGTCTATCTGTATATATACATCTATATACATATATATATATATATACACACACACGCATGCACATCATTTGCCAACAGCTGAAAGAGAAGACATGGCGCAATTAGCCCCCACCCCAACCCCCCCCCCCCCCACTCCAGAAAAGAATCACACACGCGGCAAAAGCTGCTACGAAACGCGCATAGCGCATTTTGTCTTCCGGAGGCCTTTCCATAGTATGTTGCGGAAAAGTAGGCACGCAATGCAAGTACTGCAAAATGCTGCAAAAAGCAGCATTTTAAGGACTTTCTTTAGCATGCAGCACACGTCCAAACCTCAGTACAGAGTTGAAGCACCGAAAACGCACCGTCGCAACTGAACCCGCCAGCTAGCAGAAGCACTATGCGTTTTGGTGGGTGAGGTTGCTAAACACTGAGGGTTTAGGGTCGAGTCGCAGCGTTTGCAGACTTCTTCCGCAACCCAGCCTGTCAATCTCCTCCAAGGTGAAGTCCTCTCCACACAGTGTTCGCCTGCAACAGGGTGCTGTGGTCTGAAAGGTAGGACCGTGTAGGACCGTAGGGGACCCGAACGCCTTGGGTGCAAAAGCCAAGATTAACAACTTGCTGAGATACCGCGAACGGCAACCTCCCGATCCTGTCTCTGGACACCCCCGGTGAGGAGCCACCTGCTGTGGGGTCTAAACCAAGACCAGACTTAAGGCTAGGAGGTTTAGCACTTGGAGCTCTAATATAGCTGAGTCTAGCGTTTCGGGCGTATGTTGAGGAGGCCAAACACCTTGAAGCCCGAAAGACAACACTACTTCTTTAGCTCCGGGATGTCGAAGACGCTGTCATCGCAGCACCCGTGCACAAGAGCATACAGATAATTCGGGAAGCATTGCGTGCCGCCCGTCCGCAAGAGAGAATCCGGATTGCTCAGGGCCTTTGCACTGGGAGCAGGAAGGGCTGGAATCAATCCAGCAAACTCTGCTTGAAAGACGCTGTCGGGAACGAAGGCCACGTCGGAGCCAAACAGGCTTCACTCTGAATCAGGACCTCGAGCGCTAAACCCGCGGCTCGAAACAGGAGCTTCCTTGGTGGACTATGCATGAGCACCTGTGTCGAGGGGGAGACGAACAACAACTCCAAGTACTGGATTTATGTGCTAGCGAACACAATCTACGAGTGCGACTGTGAGTTCGTAAGGATCGCTGACGATGGACCCTACACTCTACATAAACCCTACGTAGAATCAACACTCTCTCTTGCAAGATCTTAAAGCCAGCAGTGGCCTCTTGATCTCCTCCACTGGGATGCCACAAGTCTCCAGCCTGTCCCCATTGTTGCTTATCTTGTGCACTCGCAGTGCTTTGGTGTGGAAGTCCTGCTGTTCGGAAAACAGGCTCTTCTCAGCTCGAAAGACCATCAAATCCAAATGAGAGGCATGCAGGCGGGGCCTCTGAATCTACAAACCTCTACTCTACCAACCCATCCGCCGCTTGGAGGCCCGAACTGACAGAGTTGACACCAGTCAACGGTCTTTTCTACCCATCTATCCTCCCATCTGTACATGTACTACAAACATATCGCTTGGAATCACATGCAAGGCTATGGGGTACGCAAACTTCGTTGCTGGGTCAACCGGGCTACCCACTGCTTGGAACGAACAGTGGCAAGGAATGCTGGTTCGGCAGAGTAATGACACAGTAAGGCTTGTACAACTCTTTCGGGGCGTATCAGATCATGACTATGACCGTGGAGCCCGTGGAGGAACTGACCGTATCACGAGTTACACACCGAGACTCCCATTGCTACCCTTCGTCTCCACCTCGGAGGTTGTCCAGCTGTACGTTCTGATTTATCACCAAATCTCAGGGAGGCAAGATGACACAAATCTCGGAGGAGCCTTTCGCGATCTTGCTCATCCATCTCGCCGATGCTGGGTGCCAGCCTGACGAGATTGCGGGCTTCAGTTTTGCCCGATTAGGACCTGGGAGGAGGGTGGAGTTCAGGCAAAACACTTCTGGACAAAAGCGTGCGTCCAGTGCAGCATAAGGCCCGACGTGCCATCCAGCAACAGAAGCAATCTTGGCAAAGGGAGCGCACTGGGGCTTTAGAGTCGCAGCCTATTTAAACTCCACCCATGAACCTTACCGCCAACTACCTGCAAAAAGACATGTGCTCGCGTTGGAGTGCGACTGCGACACTGCAAGAAACGCACTTGAGCCCCGAGGCTTCTGCTTCAGTCCTGTAGCATGTAGAGAAAAAAGTCCGAACACTTTTCAGCACAAATGCAGAGGCTGCCCGGAGCGACGCAAGGAAGCCAAGGAGACCCCAACACACGGCAAGCAGATTGAGCTACAAACAAGCATCCATCTGATACTTCGAGGATGAACGCGCTTCGCGAGCAATCAACTAGAGTCCGAAACTTCCGCAACTCCGCGCCTGTTGAGAGATTGGGAGAGGGCAGCTGAGTTCAACCTGTAGCGGAAACTTTGCTTTCGTGGCTTCGGTCTCCGGGATGCTTTTAGGCGCTCTTCTGTAGACGCTCAACTCCTCAGGGAGCCACAAGTTAGGAGAGCTGAGCTGTCTTTATTTCACACAGTAGCAAGCCAGTCCGACGAGGATGTGCTGAAGCTGACTTTGATTTGGGCAAGATGCTACTGGAATATGGACACTCAGACTTGCCCCGACCCCGTGCAAATCACAAAACTGGCAGCGTGAAACCCCTAAAACCACCAAACCCGAACCCAAATCCGGCAAAGGAGCGTCAGTAGTTCCATCTCTGAGAAGCCCTCGCCAGTGGAGAGCCGCCTCTCGAAGGAGTTGCACTCAAAGCAGTCTTGGGTTGGGTCTTACTAGAAGACCTGGAAGCACATGTACATAGACGTAGCCATTGATAGGCACAATGAGTAGAATAATAGTATGTAATTCCTCTCCCTTGACGAGGCCCATGACGGGGAACCGACTATTAAAGAAGGGAGTTTATGAATGGCTCGGTGACAACACGAATCACGGTCCTTGGAGCCATTGAGAGTAGATAGAAATAGACAGAAAGAGCAGAGCTATTCGCTCTTCCGACAGAGGCTACGTGTTTCTTCTAAGTTATTTTCGGCATCCTAGCACTTGAGTGGCACTGCAGTCGGGGCAGAAAGTACGCTGGGGCCCTTCGAGGGTGGTATTCTTTTCAAGCACAGAGGTGGCGGAAAATGGCGACAGGGTGCTGGATGGCACGGGGGCTAGTAGCTAGCCAGCGTACGTTCTTCTGCCACTTCGACCCCCCAGCATGCTGAGGACCTCATGTAAGTTTTCTAAGGTTTGAACAACCCAACTCGGATCGAAACGACTGAGTCATCGAACTACTCAGCGTCAAGTGTCAGGCTCAACACCTTCCAAGTCCTCCCTCAGTCTTACAACCATTCGGTCACAGCCCCGTCAGTAGATGGCATGCGAAGGAATAGCCCACAATGAGTACTAGCTGCCACGCAAGAAAATCCTGCTCCGCTACGGATATTGCCGACGGCCTCCGGATCTCTTGCACAGGCAGCCCGATATCTGCGAGCCTCACTCGGAAACAAAAAGTTCTATAAGGGCTCGGTAGAGGTGCCGGATTGCACAGTTGGAAGTGGATCCCTCGTCACGAAGAGCGCCCAGCCCAGCTGAGCAGTTGCTTTCGGTTCTTCCGGTTTGTGACTTGCACGGCATCCCTGAGCTCGGAGGGTACACTTAGCCTTTCCCGATCCTTCAGTAGCTGCGCCTTGCGGGTGTGTAGTGTTAAGCCGCATACGCCAAACAAGGTCTGTGTGTGTGTGTGTGTCTGTGTGCGTGTGTGTATAATTTAGAAATGTATGTATGCGTATATATATATATATATATAGATGTGTGTATACATATCGTCTATATATATATAGTTTATATATATATATACATACGTACATACATACATACATACATACATACGTACGTACGTACGTACGTACGTACATACATATATAGATATATATGAATAAACATACATATATGTGTATATATATATATATGAATATACATATAACATATACATACACATATTTGCATGCACATGCATGCATACATGCATGGATGGATGGAGGCAGGGAGGGAGGAATGTATGTCCAACAGCGACAGGTAGCAAAGCAGCTTCCGAACAAACCAACGACCTCATTTACGACTATAGGCAACGTGGCTTTCGGGTGCTATTCGGGCTTGGGGCCCTCGACTGCCCCGGGTTGTCAGGAGTATTGACTGTCAGGTTTCAGGGTATGGGTTTGTTACTACTAGGCATAACCACTTCTCAATCCGAAGGCACTGCGGTCGATGTTCTTGTCGGGTGGCAGGCTTTTGTAATTGGAAAGAGCGGTTATGTCTGACTATGTCCCAATTCCCCAACCCTGCAGCCTGCAAAGTTCACATGGGCCGAACCCCTAATGCCGAAAACCGATCGTGCCCACCTCGTGTGATCGTCCTCACTGAGGAGATGAGCATCGGAGGAGAGCCTTGCGATCGGAGCTGCTGTAACGATGCGCTTCCTTCTCTTGTTGGCAACCACCACCACAACAACACCACCACCACCACCACCGCCAACAACAACAACAACAGCAACAGCAACAGCAACAGCAACAGCAACAGCAACAGCAACAGCAACAGCAACAGCAACAACTGCAACCACCACAACGACAAACGCATTGCCCGAGCTCCAGCACCAGCACGCCACCATCTCCCTCCGCCACGAACACCACCACCAAGAACAACAAGCACAATAACAAGAACAATATCAAGAACGACAGCAACACGTGACGAGCGAAGCGATTGCCACAGCCTTTCGGCGTCACGTGCCTATTTCTGGTGCTGGGTTCTAGCGATTCTAGCGGTCATGAATGCTGCTGACTAATTACCCTTGTCGTGTGCGATGATGGTGGCTAAAAAAAGCTGAGCATGACAGGTTCCTTGTGCAGCTTGCAATTGTTCGAGGTGTCGACTCTGTCGTTCGCCCTAGGAAGGCAAGGCTTCACAATGCCTGATCAAGGCTACTATCAAGGCTTTACAACGCCTTGCCTGCTGAGACTACAATCAAGTGCTGAGGGATAGATGAAGCAAGCAAATAATTAACCCGGATGCACCTGTCACCAACAAGCCTCCGCGAGACAATATCGATCGGGAGTAATTAAAGTCTGTGAAGATCCAGTTCCAAGCGCCCCAGGTACAACAGCAAAAGGCAGCTCAGCACATGCGCCACCACGAGTCTCCAGATGCAGCACAGCTATCTAGCTGCGAGTGGTACGGCGGGCCAGTCTCACGGATTTCAAGTTAAAGTAATAAAACTGTTTCAGGCTTAGGGGTAAGGCCGTCAAGGGTTGTAGCGCTAGGAGTGCAGCGAGAACGGTGGCCCAAGATATCCAGCTGTTGTCAATGTATGACACTCCGCGTCGCAAAAGGCACCATCGGGACACGTGGTGTGTGGGTCGAACTCGTCCGGCGGTACGGTGCACGTCTTTCGGCTTTCTGCGGCCGAAGCACCAGGTATGACCGCAGTGGCCTTGACCTTGTGCAGCTCGCTGTCGGCCGTGCGTCGGATCGCGCGTGACAGAAGTAAGTTCTGGGGTTTATCGTGGTACATGGCATCACCAGGAGCCCAAGGCTCGGCAAGTGCAACAGGAAGCATGAGCAGGATGAAGTGCAAATTGAGGCTCCGCGAACGAAACCAAGCCTAAAGAGGCAGCAGGGCTAGGACTACATCAGGATACTTGCTGAGGGTTCGGGGCAGCACCGCGTTGCTTCGCTGCTACCCCACGTCGGCACGAAAGCAGGAACAGAAGGAACTGCCGAAGCATCTGCGGGAGCCTTCGCAAAGCCTTCTTGATCTGAGATTCGCCGAGCCTGCACAGTGCTGTGCTGAGAGTTTAGTACCGAAACGAAGCACAAGCCTAATTTTAACGGGTTTCGAGAAGGGAAACTAGAAGAACGGCGCGAAAGGGATGAAGGATCAGCACTGACATCAGAATACCGGAAAATTAAGGCGGGGTTAGCTAACAACAAGCTTGGGCGTTGGGGGTGGGGTCCTGGTGCCTGAGCCCTATAGGCAGAGCACCATTACCTGCTGGCCATGCAATGTGCGTTCTTGTTTGGCCTGCATAAAATTTATAACACAGAGTGGCAGGAATCTTCTGGCGTAATGCTGCTGACCAAACAGCTTGAATTACAAACTCGGCACCCTGAAACAAACGAAGCAGTGAGTTCTGCCCGGTGAGCAGTTCGGGAGTCCGGCGCTTCCGTTGGGCCTACGCATTCAACCAAGCCCTCTTGCTCCGAATCCCAAGCCCTCTTGGCCGGCCTGCGTTGACCCTCTTCGAAAACACCAGAAGCACTTCGGATGGCCCTGCCAAGACTTCCGCGTTCCGGGCCCTCTAGGATGGTTGGTGCGACTAGCTCTGCCTTCAGCTGTTCGATGTGCATCTATGTGCATACCCATGTGACAAGATACTCCCCAAGCCCGATCTTGATCAACAAACCTGGTGGAAACTTGAAGGATTGGCAAGGCAATGCCCGAAATACTATTTGGGCCTGATCTTGGAGACTCGCCAGTTCTGCATTTCGTGTGTCTTTGAGGCCTTACTAAGAGGCTGCGAAGGGTTCATGACCAAGAAGTTCGGAAGCCCAAGCCCGAAACCCCACATCTCGGAACACGCGTACCCTTATGACCCGTACGTACAGCCTCAGAGTACAGAGCCTGTCTCTCACCAGTGCCCATGATACTTCCTGCGTGTCCCCCAACCTAGTATCCAATCCGGAACTTGCATGGCCAGCGGAGCACGTACTTCTTGCTGCAAATGCTACAGGTAAACCTCGCCTGACTGCCACAACAACAACAGCTCTGCCAGGCCCCAAACACACTGCCCACACCCCCCGAACGCCCCAAACCATTTCCTGAAGCCCCACCTCGACTGCTGCTCCTCCTCCTTTGTGGGATTACTGGTGCCGAAGACCCGCCTCAGATCGCAGTGGGCTTCGCTCTGCAGGGTTTGCAAAAGGGAGGGCCTTCGCGGGTTGTGCAGGCAACGAGTTTAAAGCGTCTTTTTCCCTCCAGCCAGCTAGGACCAGCCTGCGTTGCAGGGTAAAGTCAGAAAGAACGAGGGCCCCCTGAAAGCCTTTTGCTGACGGTTGGGGCTTCGACTCTCGTAACTGGGACAAGTCCCGGCGAAGAGAGGTCCAAATTAAGGACACACAGTCGCAAGGGACTGGCTAGTGTCATGCGTTTACATTTTCGCAATACTGCAGGGCCCTTCCCACCTAGGGTGAGGCGACTGAACAACGCACGCAGAACCACTTCAAACAAACAATTACAGGTGGCCAAGTTTAGGTGCCGGGGATATGCGAAACCTACGGGAAAGGTTTTGTAACAACGAATGCAAAGAAAGATTGCTTAGTAGCAAGCTTTTCAGCCTGGCGTGCATCAGGCGATCTTTCCCAACGAACGGCAGCCTCAGCACCCTGCCGTTCTGGCGAGGTGATGGTATGCGACGGTCACGCACAAACCTACTGCCGTACATCCCGAAACATCGGCAAAAGGCACTTGTCATACTCATGCGGAGCATAGTTCGCCTCCGCCACCAGCTCCTCAACAAACCGTAGCTTGTTCCTGTCCATGTTCATGATGCGCAGTGTGGAACTCAGCACCGCATCTTCAGCTTGCTGATCTGGGCTCCTCGCAAGTGTAGGGCTGTAGAATTCGCCAACGTCTAAGAAGGGGCCGAAGGTTCGCCCGTGCTCGATGGCCACGATACAAGCTTCCACCGTCGGCGATCCACGTTCAGGAGCGAAAATGTCCTGGTTCATGAGCTGCAGCGTCTTCTGCATATTTTGAAAGATGGATTTGTAGTCAGGATCTTTGGCCAAATCAACGTGCTCCGTCGGATCATCCCTCACGTTGAAAAGGCAACCCTCACCGCAATCCACAGTCCAGGACTGCAATTCCTTGCTTTCGTCGGAGAACTCGGGCAAGTATGTTGCAGAATCCGAATGCATCGGTATGGACATTGGTCCCTGTTGACTTCGAACGCTTTGCACAGTGGAGCAGTTCGGATAGACGGGCCCTGTCCAGGCACCAAATTTGCTTTTGCCAGTGAGCAATTTGTATGGCCACATCAGCAGGGCCTCTGTGGCCAGATGCAGAGGATCAGCTCTGCCGTTGCGGTTCTGCAGGATGTTTTGCCACTGCGGCACGCTGTCTACCGGAAAAAGCAGGGGGAGGCCCTTTTCCCGTAGCCACCTGTTGGCCGCCTCGGCCTTTCGATCCTGGATGTCCACGCCGGCAAGCTCTGCAAGTGTCCCGTACCAATCCGCAATGCTGATGACGCCTTCAAACTTCGTGCCACGTCGAGATTCTGGTACGAAGCCGCCTGAGACAAAGGCATTTGTTCGGAAACCTCCTTCAAAAAGGGATTGTTTTCCTCCTCGCAGAGGATGGTTTGAGGCCCCACCGGGCTCATAGATGGGACCGCCGTTGTCGGAAACGAATATGATCAACGTGTTATCATACATATTCTTGTTCTTTAGAGCTTCAACTGCTTCACCTATCGCGGCATCCATGTAAAGATTCATGGCAGCATACAGCCGTCGATTCTGGGAATCGATCGGAAGGCCACCTGCCACTTTAACAAGGTCGTCGATTCGTCGCAGCCACATCTGCGGCACTTGCAAAGGAAGATGAAGCAAGTGAAAGGAATACAAGAGAAACAAGGGCTTTTCAGGGTCATGGAACCGGATGATCTCCAAAACCTTCTCTTTGAAACGATGCTCTTCGTAACATGACGGTTCCGATTCCTTGTCCTCGTCGCTTCCGCACACAGCTGACAAGGAGACGTCGTCGAGAACGGGACCGCAGTAGCTCGAATTGTGCATGGACAAGTCCCTCATCTGGTTCAAACACACGTCAACAGATCCGAACGATGAAGTCATCGGGGTGTTTGCACGCCAATAATCGTTGGAATGACCGTAGAAGCCATACCAAGTCTCGTATCCTCGCCCTTTTGGTGAGTGCTGCGGGGTCGCACTGCCGACATCCCACTTCCCGACCATGTGGGTGCTGTACCCTGCTGTGAGCAACTTTTCCGCCATGCACGTCATATTCCGCGGGATCCCTGCGTAGCCGCTGACTGGGTCATTCGGATTCACCATCATCAGGTCATTGTCGTTCAAGTCCTGGTTCACGTGCACCGGAAGGCGGCCCGACTGCAAGGAGGAACGGCTGGGGGAGCACACATGCATGGCGTAGTGGCGGTCCAACAAGATTCCTTCGTCGATGAGCCTGTCGAGAGTGGGCGTGTGAACCTCCAACTTTCCCTGGAGTTCCTCCAGGGAATCTCCAGATTCCCGGCGATGGACACCCAAGTTGCCCCAACCGTGGTCGTCCCCCACGATAAAAAGCACATGCGGTTTCATGCCCGCCGCGAGGCACAAGGTAGAGAGGGCAAGAACGAGTGCCATGTCTCCGCTCGGGCATCGGTACGCTTAACTTCCTCACAGGTCCAATATCATTCGTACTGTTTAGACTCTCACAACTCTTAGGGATCTTCGGGCTTACTTACCATAGCCCAACTTGCAGTGCGACTTCCCTTGAGACATTTTTCACTTTGGACACTTTCCAGGTACCTTTCAGTATGAAGGGTTAAGTTCTCCGGGTGCTGAAGCAATACTCACAGCAACCTACAATAGTCGCCACACATGGATTGCTGGATGTCCTTCTTGCGCACGACGCTTCCACGAGAGAGACTTTGCATCACGGGCACTGCAATCAAACGAAAATCCGGTCAGTTCGGCTCAGCCTGATGCCAAAATGTCATACACCTGCATACACACAAGCCTGAAGTGCCAACACGTTTTTCTAAATGGAGTAGGCCATAATTAAGCAGACTTGCGAAGCACCTGTCTGGAACCTGTGTGGGGTCGATGCTTCGCAGGGGCAGGAAACATCCACCTAGAAAGTCTCGAACCTTCTCATTCATGGTCCATTGGCTTTAGACTTTAGGGTTCTTTTAAGTCTTCCGCGGCTCGAAGCCTCGAGCCGGCCGGGGTCCCCAGCCGCGTCAGCTTCGCCAGAGAGAAGCCAGCCAGCTCCAGCCTGTCAAGGTCCCTTCTGGAGGCATGTGCCTTGGGCAGAAGCCTGGCTTATGCCATACACTCCAACACCCCAGGATTATGTGCGATTTCAAGCAGCCAGCGAGGGACCTTGTTTGAATGTGCAGGACTACGGGTGCAGCCAACGTCTTCAACATTGCACCACAGGTGCCAAGATCAAGACCCAGTCTGTCATCCAGATTCTTGGCATTACGAGATGCACTCTTGCGCTCCAGCCTTTCTGAGTCAGACTTCACCACTCTAAAGCAACGGAGCTGCGCACACTCACTCTCGTACAATAAAGCCTTCTCCCATCTTCCAAATCCTTCCACAGCCGAGGCTGCAAGGCCTGTAGCTTATGGCAAGTTCCCTGGCTAGATGAACAACCTCCGCTCGGTTTAGAAGGTATACATTGCCCCGCATGAGGAAGCCCATGATACCACAGACTTCCATTACGCGGCGACTGGCCAATCGATGGCAAATTTGAGAGTCTTGAGATTCAGAGCTAGGAGATTAGCAAGCTGAGCGGAATGAGGAATCAAAGCGTCAGCGACGGTTACCGACGTGAACAGGTTCGGATCCTCAGGTTGCAAGGCTGCAATGGAATGCAGCCAAATGCGCAGCTTCAAGAAGAATGGGCCTCAAAACCTTCTGTCCTTCTGCTAGAGAGTTTGAAACAAAGTGAGCGAAAGCAGGAACACAGAATCCCCGTCTTTGCCCATGCCTTCGCAACTCGTCGTCGTCAAAGCCCATGCCTTCGCAGAGTCGCCTGTTGCAACATCTCCTATGCCAGCTTTTGCTGCCCCCCTATGTAGTCCTGATGGGTTGCCACAAATCTTCGGCACGGTCATCGAAAAATCTAAACCCGAAACCTGATACCGGCTAATACCCAGAGATCTAAAAAACAAAGACGCGCTTCCTGCATGTTCCAGCTTGCCCCGTACATGTTTCGGGTAACCCTGACCCGAAGCCCTAAACCGAATCCATACCCAACGGCATGTTGATGGATACCAGCCATGCAGGTATGACTAGACCCCATGCAGTTCAGCATGTACCTCAACCCAGTTATGAACCGTTCGCAGCTTGTCATAAAAGAGCATAGCACACCCTGCAAGCCCGTAGCGCGTACAAAGCAAATTACAGCCAGGTATGGGGGCATACGTGGGGTGCACTATAGACATAGCAGCGAGTTTCATGTAGATGATAAGGCTGTTATGGCTGGGGGCTTGGAGTCAGGTGCTTCAGCAGGGGTGCCCAGATGTGGAATCCGTCTCCCGCAGCTATGTACAGATCTTGCAAGTAGTCGTTGAAGCTCTGACGTCTTCTGAAGCCTACATCCGAAAGGCCAAGTCCCCTTAATCGGGCCTGATGATCTCCTCCTCTGTGAAGCCGAATGCCTGCAGCCTCGTGGCGGGATTCATGACGAATCCCCAAAAAGCATCGACAGCATTCCTCTACTTGAAGTCGTGGGGGCTTATGGGGGCTTTCTTGCCTGCACATCGGGTTTGTCGACAGGTCTGCAGCCCTCGAACTGAAATATTTCGAATGTACTGAAAATGAGAAAAGGCGGCATCTAGTCTGCGGGAAGCATGACTTCTTTTGCACCACGAAGCTTGACGAACAATAGGATGCTCTGACTCAGGCCGCTCATTTGAGCTCCATGATGTCATAACCAACCCTGTAATTAGCAAGAAAGCTTCAGACCTGGGGAATCGGAAACCCCTGTGCTCGGGTGGCATGTGCTCGTCGAGGAGTCAAACAAGCGAGACACACATCCAAATCTGACTGCCACCTGTCACGTTTCGACACCTCTGCGATCCCTCCTTGGACCATGCTTAGACAATCCCGGGAAGCCGTACAAAGGAGCAAAGGGTAAGCCTAATGAAAAATGACTGGAGAGTGGCAAAACCCAAAACGTTTGAAGGGTCGAGAACGCAAGACCCAACACCCGGAAAGGTAGCAACAACCCAGATCCTACTCACCGCCTCAAAACTGGCTTATTGTTGGCACACTTCCAGCAAAACCCAGCCGCACACAGCAGTAGAAGGATTGCATGCTGCAGAAGGAAAGCCTTTGAAGTTCGGTCGGGGCAAAGGTACTTTCACCGTGGACACGCCTGGCAACAGGTAATTAATGCTTGGAGTTTGATTCTTTTCCCACCCGCTTCGCTGACTAGAGTCTTGAGCATTGGGGTTTGGAGTTGGGGGCAATTTGGGGTTCGGGAGGGGGGATGGGGGAGGTGATGTTCGACACGCACACTTGCACAAGCCGACACGGCTCCAAGCGATAAGTCTCTGAGCCAGGTGGTGCTTTAAAGGTATAGGGTGGTTCAGGCATTGGCTAGTTCCTCAGAAGCTTATTGCTGCGAGCGGCTCAGGGATTGGATTCAAGCGGGGCCACAACTCACTCACGTGCAGTGACACAGAAGAAGCAGGAAAACATGCACTTACACATTAATTGGCTGGCAGACTTTCTGAACTCCGCAACTACGTCAACCAATCAAGCGCTTACATCCTGAAGAACAAACATCGGCACAAAAGGCACGTGCAGTGAAGCTCGGAACTCAAGCAGCTGCAACTACAGCCAGCTGCTGCTACTGCTACTGCTACTCGTACTACTACTCCTACTACTACTGCTACTACTACTACTACTACTACTGCTACTGCTACTGCTGCTGCTACTGCTACTGCTACTCGTACTACTCGTGGTACTACTACTACCACTACTACTACTACTACTACTACTACTACTACTACTGCTACTGCTACTGCTACTGCTACTCGTACTACTCGTGGTACTACTACTACCACTACTACCACTACTACTACTACTACTACTACTACTACTACTGCTATGTTATTATTACTGTAGGGCTTTTGCCACTACTACTACTACTACTACTACTACTACTACTACTACTACTACTAGTACTACTACTATTGCCACTACTCCTACTCCTGCTCCTGCTGCTCCTGCCGCTCCTGCTGTTGCCGCTGCTGCCGCTGCTGCTGCTGCTGCTGCTGCTTCAACACAGCATGCTCAATCACACAGCAGCACCTGCATGTGCTACACCCTGCACGAACAGGGACACGAAATATGCAGACACAGAACAACCATACATGCAGCTACATCTTCAGCAAACACACTGCACAGAGAGGCACCGGGATGCGCTGACGGTCAGGTCTGCAATGCAAATAATGTACTCCTCAAACCTGAGAACTTTTCCCAACACCAGCGACCCGTCAACCTGTGGAGATCTTCCACGTCGAAGCCAGCGCTCTCTAACCTTCATCGCTGGAGTTTTTTTGAAGCTTCTTCTCTAGGGGCTTGAAACATGTGCTGATTTAGTCATGGTGGACTAGGACTAGTAACTAGTACTACATAGTGGTCGTAACAAGGACGCGTCCTGGTATTGACACTCTTATGACTTACTTCGCGCAGCTGCTGCTGCCCACGACCCCACCACTACAACTACCACCGCCCCACTACCACTGCTACCACCAACACTAACCACCACTACAACTTCTTCTTCTACTGGCTTGACGACGACGAAGGTGACTACGTGACGACTGCTACTGCCACTACCATTCTGCTGCTACTACTCTAATCCCGTCACTTCTGTAAGTGCAACTGCACCTACCCCTAAGGTAACGAAGGAGGACAACGACGACTACCTCTGATGCGAATGGTTTTATTATTATCGCTAGTTGCTGCTGTTGCTACTGCTGCCTCGGCTACGCGGGCGACGACAACAACTCCTGCCACATCAACGGCACTACACATGGCTGTCAGTCAAAAGTATCGCCACAATAATCATAAAATATCATGGTCTTGACCAGCAACATCACCGTATAACAGTAATGTCATCGTCGTCGTCGTCATCATCATCCAATCAGCTCCGTCACCATGAACTTCCTTGATGAACAGCATCGACATCGTCAGCAACTCCTTCCAAACTCACCTTCGAGCACGCGTCAAAACATGCCGGCACTATAAGTATAAAGAAACATGTGGGAATGGAGCCCTGAAGGCATCACTATTATTCAATGAGACCTCCAACATGGCATGCTACAGTAACATGCGCATATCCAGAGCTTCCCAGACCTGAAGCGATCCTCTTCGCAGAACTCTTCCCGATCAGCCAGTTGCCTGAAGGTTGGGCAAGTGTCCGGTAGATGCTCAAGGGGCTTGAACAGAAAAGGCACCATGTTCACGGAGTGCAAAGTTAGTGTTTCAGCTCTTCGGCAGTTTCTCAAGTCGAACATGCTTGAGCAGAATTCGTAGGTTTTCGAGTGGGCTGCAGCTACCAAACTCGACTGAACAAAGATCAATAGTGTCGACCGAAGCATGTATATTGGTCGTCTTTCTTTCCCGGACTGTTTAGAGTCCACCGCAACTAAGCCAACCAAGTCATATGTACACAACAGTATATACAGGTTTACGGTGCAAACCCACACGACATGGAACCAAGGTGAGGTTGTGTGCTCGCCTGTTGTACCAGCTTTGCAGAAGGCTCCTTGAATGCGCGGACCCTGACTCTCCATTGATCCTCGAGAATCAATCAAACAAGCCCTCGAAACCGAGACCCCCTGAGCCCAAGCTACACCATCTTCACCAAGTGTGCTGTTTGTAGAAGTGTTGCTTGTGCGTTCCTTGGTATTGGCTTCGATGGGTTCTTTTCTGCCCAGATTCTTTTGTCGCCCTACATGTGTGGTCCTAATTTTTCGTGGTTCATTATTCCAATTACATCTGACGATATGGCTTTAGTCCACTCTTGTGTGGCCGATTCCCTTCGTCTTAATCGAAGCACCAACAATGTACCCCCCCCACTGGGTGGCTCCATCATGATGATCAAGGCGATCCTTCTGCTGCTGCCTTTTGGGTCCGGCATCGCAAGCAACAGAAAGCTTAGAACATCTCCACTTTCGGCTACGGCAAGCAGCTGAGCAATTAAGGAAGAAACAGCTCAACTGCAAGACCAGTCCGAAGCATAGCAAACCACTACTTTGTATCACTTCAACCATCATTGCAACAAACCCCTGCGAGGGAATGGTGCAGCAGCACGTAGCAAAACAAGCATCAGAAGTCACATGCGGGCGCTGGGAGCTGCAGAAGTGTGACGCACAGGTTCATTCCAGCTCCAGTGGCTCCTCCGGTTCGCAGACATCATTCAGATTCTGCAGCGCCAGTCTGGCAAGCATAGCATTTCCAGTCTCCGTGGTGCGCAGTATTTCCTCGGCATGATCTATGGGAAGATCTGCTGGCTGGTAGTCCGTAGCAGGCCTGCAAAGATCCTCTAGTAGCTGGGCGAAGTTCTGAGCAATGTGGTGCAAGAACCTGGCCAATGTACCGTGTGATGGTAGGAGGTAGCCGCGATCGACCAGAAGCGCCAACGACTGAACATCCAAGTCCATGACGGCTGAAGCATCGGAAATCGCATGAAAAACCGGAATGTCCTGGTAATCCAGCAGATCCAATGCCCAAGCCAAATTGCCCAGGTTCTGGGGCGCAAATTCGGACATGATGAGCAGGGACTGCCCAGAAATCTCCTGTAGCGCCGGTTTGTTTCGCAGCTGCAGTGTTGCAAACGACCAGGCCGTGTTGGCCAGGTCCTGCGGCACGAACTGGTGAATACTCGACACGGTCGCCGCCGCAATTGCTTCCAAGAGTGGCTTGTCATGGAAGGCAAGCCTTGCATACGCCCAAGCGATGTTGGAAATGTCTTGATGTGATAATTCAGCAGCATTGATGATAGCTTTGTGTGCAATGGCAGCCAGCAGTGGTCTGTCAAAAACAGTCAGTGAAGCCAATGACCATGCCGTGTTCGAAAGGCCCTGGGCACTGAACTCATCCATCAGCAGCAGCGAGCGGTCTGTAAGTCGCTGGAGCGTCGGGCCATTTGCCAACCCGATGGCAGCCAATGCCCACACAGAGTTCGCCAGCCCGCGCGCGTCAAACTGGTCGACGAAGCCGAAGAGCCGGGAAGATGCAACCTCTTCTGCCACAGATGCAGCATCAGGGCATTTCGCCAGGCGGCACAGGGCGGTAGCGGCTGCCACTGCATCCGGACGAACCGCGGCGATGGTGTCCAGCACTGCCCGGGCCGAACGCTTGGCCAGGAGTTCCTCGCCAAGATTCCGCTGCAGACGAGAGAAGCCTTTTGCCTCTCGGAGGGAAATCCGCCTGGAATTTCGGTTGAGGCTCACGAAACCTCCAGTGCCATTCGATTCAGGCGGCTGAGGCGAGTCAGCATCTTCTGCCGTGGCGCCTTCTCGGGCAGGGCTACTGCACCACGAAGCCAAACAGAGCAGCTTGAGCCGCAGCATGCCGTAGCCAGAGGATGATGGTTGTGATTGTCAACAACGACTTTCAATCACCGGCAATGAACATGTTGATTATGACCGCTGTGATGCCTGTATAGTTATTTAGTTTCACTGGAGATAGTGTGGTGCCGATCATGGAAATGATGACGGTGCCCCCGGCAGTTACAGTATTACTGCGATCCCAACTTGTAGGCCAAGCCAAGCTCCTGCTCTCGATGAGGTCACGCTCAGGGTTTTGAGGCATCCTGTGAAGCTCTACATCGTTGTCACTGTAGAAAAGGCCCCAAAAGGATTGGGCCCGAACTGGGGTTCAAAAGAACCCTGGACGGGACAAGTCTCCATAACGCACCATGTAAGAATTGACGGCCAACCGCTCGAAGCCGTCAATCGCACTGGCTCGTGCCTGATCTCATGCCTGACAACATCAAGGGGAACTGCTTTAAGCATCCAGCTTCAGGATCTCATCCTCGTGCAATCCCACGACATCCAACCTGCACTGGCAAGTCAGTGGCATGGAAGCCAGGCAGACTGAGGATGTCTCGAATGGCATGGACGACGATTTGCACACACGAAGCACTGCGTCCAGTTCTGTCTATCGAAGGTAGCATGCAGTGTGTCAACACAACGCACACATGCAAAACATGCGTACACAAACATGCATGCATACAAACACTTATTTGCATGGCCCGGCTGCTGTATAGGAGGCATCATGTCGTAACAAGCTTGACTTCAGTGGTCTTGCCACGTCCTCAGGCATGAGTGCTCTCCTACCCACGAAATTCACGAAATGTAACACCCCTGAACCTCAACTCCTCCCATAGTTGAAATCGATTCTGCAAAACCCCTACCTCCCCCATCGACCGCGAGGCCTCAATCGCTCGTCTCGGTCGAAGATTTCGCCTCCAAGAACTCGCCTTAGCATGCTTGGGCGCACTCGGCTAAAGCCATCGCACAAGTGCAGAAAGTCGTCCGGCCTGCAGTCTTGAGCGTCACTATTCCCTCGGCCCGAAGTCGCACAACCCTGTCACATACAAGAACATACACATATCAATGCTGGTGGCCATATTGCTTCAGCACAGTATGCTTTGTCCAAACTGCTGAGAAGCATTATGCAGCATTGTCAGGACCATGGCTTGAAGCCCGGGTGTATAGGCGCATCTGTTTAATGCATAAACTGTATAAATATTCCCAGAGCATCGGATATTGATTTT